GAAAAAGTGAGTCAAGTGAAGGGCCCTAAACGCTAAACCATCGAAAAGGGAAATAAAAAAAACAAAACAAAAAAAAGGCAAAATATGCAGACATCTTACTCAAAAACGGTGGCTTTTTTTTTCTTTTGTTTTAATATTTCTATTTTTTGTTTTTATTTTATTTTTTTAAAAAAAGAAAGAGGGAGAGAGGGAAGACGCCAGTTAGCCTTCAAAATAGTGGAACACCAAAGCGGTCAACACCAGGCATGCCCGATATGTGGTCATGTTGGCCAGCCAACATTAACCATTCACTCCCCTGCGGTGAGAGCTACAAACTTTAAGGATTAGCTTTCACCAAGCCAACTCTTGATGGCGGGCAGGTCAAGAAACCAACTGTGTGTATATAGCATGGCCCACTCAGGGCTTCTGCCCCCATGTCTCCCTTTCCCTCCCACCATGGGCATCATCTCACACTTGTGTGGAGGAGAACTGGCCTCAGAGGGAAGAGAGGATACTGGCTGGCCCCCTGCTTTCTTTTTTGGACACAGAGTTAGAAGTCAGACAGTACTCTTTCAGTTAGTTTTGTTCAGGCCTGGTAACAGGAAATCGGAGCCTCGCAAACTGAAGCAAAGGAAAAATCAAGACAGCAGAAGGGCAAAAATTTGGAGTGGGTAGGAAAAAAAAAAACCAAAACAACTTAATAAAAGAAGAAAGAAAAGAAAAAAAAAACACCCAAAAGAACAGTAAAAATATTCCATAAGGGGTGTAAACTTTTATACATTTCAGTGCAGGGAGGTGAAGGACACGGACACAAACACACACGCACACACAAGACTGGGATCCAAATGTGAAATAAGTGAGGCAAGACACAAAAAGAAATCAAAAGAATAAATATAAAGAAGAAATTGAATTACTGAAGACATGCACCTCGATTTTACGGCCCTCTACCACGGTGCCGTGTAATTTCTCCCTGGCCCTGTCTGCATCAGCACTATTCTCGAAAGTTACGAACCCGAATCCCTGCATGCAGCGGGAGAAGGGGGGAAAACATGCACATCGTTATATATTGAAATACTGATCTCTAGGTAAATAGAGAAAAAATATCACAGTATGAAATCAACATCAGCACAACTCAGCAATAACCTCCTAGAGTCACATTGTTGGTTCATGCATGTTTCGTAAATGAAAGACATTAAATTCGATAAAATAAAGGAACTATAATCATAATAAGAAGAGTAACTAAAAAAAAAAAAAAGAAAAGAAAAAAGAAAAAAAAGAAAACATAAAAGCAATTGAGGCCAGACCAAAAAGAAGTACAAAGTTACTCGAGACAACGTTTTGGTTTGTTTTGGTTGTTTAAAAACACTAAGCCCTGCTCTGACACAGGCAGGCTGGTCAAGCCCAAGCTGGGCTTTTCTCCCCTCTGCTAATTGACAGACATGCTTTGGAGGACCCGCCGCCCACCCCAGACACAGTACAGGACATCAGCACTGAGCAGCACTTCGTTCTCTTGAGAAACTGCTACGAGAGCGAGCAGCGATCTGAGTTCACTCCTGGCACCAGGAATTCTGCGAAGCTTTGGGCAAACCAAACACTGAACCTTGCTTTTCCCACCTGTAAAATGGAGACAATAATAATTACCTACCTTAGACAACTGCTGAGTGGAAGGGCTGTTTGTAAAGCATCCCTTGTAAGCTCTTCAGGGCACAGCTCCTGTCTATTCCTACTTGCCTAATAACGTATGGAGCCCTGGAAGTAAGCAGGGCTTCTAGGTGGTACCATCAAATAAACATTACTTAACGTGAAGATTTAGACTATCACAATTGTAGTTTGAAAATTTTCCTATCTATGCAGACTGTGTTGGACTTGAGTGCAAATCCCAACACCTGAATACCAATTAATCAGTAAAGGAAGGTTTTGTCTGACACTGCTGACTCACTGCTACCTCCCTCCCACCATGCTACCCATCTTACTTGGCTTTGTTCTGAGAAGGCAACCTCTGTGCCATGGACAGCAGCAAATCTCTGCCTAGTTAGACCATGAAACTGGAGGCAAACTGATGTTGATGTGCCCTGCCTGGAGCAAGCACAAAGGCTTAAGAACCACTAAAATGTCCCTTTAGTTAGATGAATTTAGGTTTACCGTATCCATGAAGGCACATGCAACACGCCTGTCCTACACGCTCAGGCTGCTGCCAACTCATGCAGTCGTGTAACAGAGCAGAGCAAGAGATCATGCTTCTTTCCATGGAGATGGGTGCACTGACATTAAAACAGAGGCAACATGACTGAGCGAATTAGGATTTTAACAAGTAACAAATGGTATGCTACTACAGGCAACTGTGATGAGATATTCTTTGTGCCATTACAGACAGCAGGGCCAAACAAAAATCTTTGTTGCATTCTGCTTTTAAGGTATGTTAAGCACAGGAGTAACTGGCTCCTGCGGCTTGGTATAAAGCAAATAAGGGTTTCATGTATGGAGAGTAATCTCTGCTGGCTACAAGGCCCTCAGGAGCAGGAAGAACAAAGCTTGCATTTGATGCAATGCTAACTGAAGAGGGAGGTGATGTAAGTGATCTACAGCTATGTCTTGTCAGGGCAATGGTATGCCAGCCTCACAGTCCCCTCCATGCAGCTTGGGGTCGATATGTATGGACTAGACCCTTCTATCTTGATTTCTAAGTACTGTTGGCAACAAGACACTAGCAAGCCATCATTCTTCAAGTGCTTTTTAAAGGTCTTTACAATACTGATCTGACAAAGCCTAAGCCATATCCACATGCTGGCCTTTAGCTAGGTTTCTAGCACAAAACTGTTACACATCTGTAAAATGCAAGGGTCTTTCTTTTTTCCCCCCCCTGAACAGCAATAATAAAAGGACATAGCCAAGTACTGCAATGTTGAGGTCAACAAGAGCGCTCCTTTGGGCTCCAACCCAATAATATAAAGCTTCAGATAATTTCATTTCTCCAGCTATAAATAAAAAGCTATATAAATAACAAACTGATGCCTTTTTCAGAACAGTGTAGTTTTTTTTCCCCCTGTTTAAATGATTAAAATTGGAGCTACAAAAGATAGGAGCTAATAAAACAGCCTAACCGCATATACATCTCAAATATGCTGCAGGGAACCAGGGGAGGTGCTGGGGGTGTAATAGCAAAGCTGATTATGAAGGGATAAGGTATCATGTCTGCTTCAAAGAACCCCTACAGAGAAAGGCAAGACTGAGAAATAGAGCAACACCTTTCCCTCTGGTTCTATATAATGGGGAAAAAGCATCTTTAAAAGGCTAGGGGAGGAGGGGAGGTGAAGACTGCAACAGGAATCTCTATTTCCTTCTTCTCTTTTTACATTAAAATTTCTGTTTGTTCTAGACAAGCCTGTGGAGACCGAATGAAATTTATGTCTTCGGTGATGATGTGAACTGAAAGCTAGAGAGCAGAGGGAAGGTGATTTTTTAGACATCAATCTGTGCAGGCTAGAACCAAACTAAGACTATTCTAATTCATATTCGTTTGGAGTTAGTGAAGTCTATATACGGGATTTTAAAACCACATTATCAATAGGTATCTTTAAATGGAAAGGAGTTTTCAATGTTTTTAATAAATTAACTCAAGGTAGGATAAATCCACATGTGAAAATAATTAACAATGTGAATTAAAACAGAATTAATCCAATTCTGAACATTGTAACTAATTACCCACAATTTTAGTTTTATTGACAGATTAGTCCTTAGCTTGTGCAACTCTCTTTGTTGAGAACCATTTAATGTCAATGTTGAATTAATGCTTTAAATAGTTGACTATGGTAGTCAGTATTTGTACCCCCTTGGTTTGTCATCTTAATGCATCCCTTAAACATTCAAATTTTCATCAGGAAAAAAGGTGAGGCATGCTTGACATTTTTGTTATTTCCAAGTTTAAAACCTATCAATTTAATATAAATTAAATTATAAATTTAATATAAAAATAATCTAAATATACACGTTTGATGTGGGAGAGAAAAATAGCACATACATATATTTTTAATTCCTTCTCACAGATGACCTGTAAAGAATAGGGATTAATTTGTACCTAAATACATATGCAACAAACAATTCTCAGTTTCTCCTCCCAAGGTTGTCTTGCCCTTGAAAATAAGAAAGAAAACAAAAAAGAGGTGGCAGATGTCCAGTATTTACTTGCTTAGCTTTAGAGCAGGTACTGGTCTGCTCCATTATTAGTAGGT